AGCTGATCGCGCCCCCTGCCGCTGGCAAGCTTGCGGGCTCCCCTGTCCTCCCCGCCGCTGTCCTCTGCTCACCGCTGGGTCCCTCCGTGGCACCCTCAGAGGACAGCAGCCCCCGCCCATTATCCCTTCCATGATTTCGTCAATGTTCTTGGGGGCTTCTGGACCCACCGGTTGCCTCCTGTTCCTTGAGTCCTCAACACTGCCAATGTCAGCCACACTCTCTCAAGGTCATGCCCCCGGGGGCGTCCTCACCAGCAACTGCGTCACTGCCACGACCTCAATTGTAAGGGTCCTCCTCTGTGACCGGGGAGCCCTCTTCCCGTCACTCCCTTCCTCCTGTGACTCCACCCCAGCCCTTGGCTCCACCCCCCTCTGACCCAGCCTGATATCACAGCCCCTCCCACTTTTCCCCAGCCCCCAGGTCCGAGGCCATGACCTCCCCAGGGAGCCCTCCTCAACGCCATAGCTGTGCTCATCCCCTGATGCGACTGTCTGACCAAAGCCCTGTTCTCAGTTAAATCCAACCCTGGGACTCCGGGCGGGCACCTGAGTACCGAACTTGGCTGGAGGAGGTCTCAGGCTGCTGCTGAACACACTTCAGAGGGCACTTGACATTGCTGGACAGCCCTACACCTGAGACCCCAGGTCTCATTTAGTCTCCCCTCAAACCTCCAACCACGCTGGCTTGCGTTTCTCAGTTAAATGTCATATTATAACATGTTGATGTGTAACACGTTGATGTGGTTCAGTAATAAAAATTTTAAACAGGATATACAGTGAAATATCTGCCTCCCCAACTCCCTCCCCATCACCTCCCTGCCTCCTGCTCTCCCCTCCCCGTTTCCGGTGTGCACACACCTGTGAGCTCACACACTCACAAGTAACCACTCTCATTAGTTCCTGGCGTATTCCTCCAGGCTGCCTCAATGCACACGTAGGCAAAAGCAAATGAATATAATACATATGCATATGTATATGTATATGCATATGCATATACGTATGGTAGGTCGATATAAGATTCTATAGGTATCTTTTCCCACGTTTGTTTATTTGGAGGTAACATACCACAAATTGTTATGCAGTGTGCTTTTTTTCTCCTTGACATTATATATTGGAACAGTTCCACATCAGGACAGAGAGAACTTCCTTTTATGGCTGTATAGTACTCCATTGTTTGGTGCACTGCAATTATCTGCCTGGGGTTACTGATGGACATGTAGGGAGTTTCCAACATGGATAAGATACATTCCTGGAAGGGGGTGCCCGGGTGGCTCAGTGTGTTGGGCAACCGACTCTTGAGGTCGGCTCGGGTCGAGATCCTAGGGATCGAGCCCCACGGTGGGCTCCTCACTGAGCATGGAGCCTGCTTGGGATTCTCTCTCTTTCTCTCTCTCTCTGCCCCTCCCCCCCTTTATCTTTCTCTCTCTCTCAAAAAAAAAAAAAAAGATACATTGCTGGAAGGGGAATGATTGGTTCAGAGAGTTTTTTGACTTGACTGATATTCTCAAATGGCCCTCCATGAGGGTGTCAATCGCCCTCCCAGAGTAGGGGGTGACAGCACCTGATGGCTGTCGGCCTTGCATGCTTTCGACAATCTTATGAGACGTACTCTTTCTGCAGACCTCTCAAACTTAACCCCCCAGATGTCTCTCCTGGGGCCTCCCCACTCTCCCCTTCAGGCCTTCCTCGTTTGGGAGGTGGCACCATGGTCCACATGTCTGACTCAGTGTCTTTTCAACGGTTCGGGGATTTGCTCGTCTCACACGCCACCCCAGAGCCAGTCCTGTCTCCCTTCACAGCCCTCACTGACAACATCATCTCTCTCCCAGGCAACCCCACACCCCTTAAGGGGTCTCCTGGCCTCCCCTCGGCCCTCCAGTGTCCATGCAGCAGCCAGAGAGGTCTTTCCAAGTCCTACATCACATCAGCCCCAACTGCCTCTTCAAAACCCTCAGTGCTTTCCTCGTACAGCTGGAGTGAACCCCAACTCCCAGGCCCAGCTAAGTTTCTCGGACCCTCGCCTGCCTCTCCGGGGGGATCCGCTCCACCTCCTACCTTCACCACCCAACCCTGGAGCTCCTCCTAGAACTGGAACCCTGCCAGCATCCCGCTCCCATCCCCACCCCACGTCCTTTGCCGGGCTGCTCCCCTCCCCTGCACTGCTCTGTCGAGGACTGTGTAAGTGGCCTTGCCAAGTTTGGGGTCCCAAACCAAGTATCGCCTCCCGCGTGAGCACTCCCCCCTTCCCGCTTTAATCTCTACTGAGTCACTCCCACCCATCACCCCACTGCACTTGGACCTGAATTGTTTATTTACTGGCTCTGTGTTTCTTGTGGGCTTCAGGGAATGTCAGCCCTTCTGGGCGGCCTTGGCCAGCTCTCCCCGCTGCCCCGCCCCCAGCAGGGATGGGGGAGAGGTGGAGGGCCCCATCAATGCTGTGCCCTTCACTCCCCGTTCACACGGGGCCCCATGTCCATGTACAGCTGAGAGCAGGTGGCCACAGAAGGCCCCCTGTCCAGGCCGCCCCTCTGTGCCCTGAGCCTGGTGACTCACTCCACCACTAGGGTCAAATTCTTCCCTTAAGGGGATTTTCCTGCGGGATGGGGAAGTTCCTGAAGTGGAACCCTTGGTGGTAGCCAGGGCCAGCGACTTGGTCCCTTCCCCACCCTTGTGCCTCTTCTTCCTCATTCCTCCTGGAGTTCTGCTTCCTGGAGATGGGGAGTGCAGGGGCGCATTGGGGCGGGGAGGGGAGCTCCGTGCTGAGGACCCCCATCCATCCCAGCTGCAGCCAGGGTGGACTTTTAGGTCCATCAGGTCGGCCTGGCCCAAGGGATTTGAAGTTTCCAGCTTGTCCCGGGTGCCGGTGCCATAGCTCCCCGCAGGCCCTATCCAGTGGGGGGCAGGCGCGCCGGTCCCAGGACCCCCTGCCCCTCCCACCCCGTGCTCCGTGGGAGCAGCGAGGTTCCAACCCACCCTCGATCTGCGTGGCGTGGACCTGGGGCCCCTGCTCTGGGGAGTAGGATGTCCAGGGGCCACTGTCCCCCTCCCTCCTTGCTCCCCACTGAGAGGCTGGCTCCATCCCATCCCATCCCCACCTCCACAGGCTCCTCTCCCCTCCTCTGGAATTCACCCAAGGAGCCCCAGACGCCACACATGGCTCCCTTGGGGACCCTCCCTCAGCTATGTGGAATGGAGGGGACCCTGGTCCCAGGGACTCTGCCCCTCCCCAAATCCTGGGCCAGGTGAACTGGTGTCCAGGTGAGCTGGGGCCATCTCTGAAGGTAGACTGTGGGGCTCCCCTGATCACAGCTGCAGCTTTGTGAGATCGGTTCCAGAAATATAAGGGTGAGTCCCCACAGGGGCCTACGGGGGGGGGGGGGGCTGACATGACTGTCTGGGGTCCACTGCCTACCCCTGCATTCTCAGAAGGACAGTGGGGAGGCCAAACTGGTTTATGGTCCTCTATTTACAGGTAAGGAAACTGAGGCACGAGAGAGTGAAGTGACTGGTCATGCCCCACAGGCAGACCCTTCCAAAGCTCATGCTTATGGGTGAGAAGGGGGAGGAGCACTGTAGGATCAGACACGTTGGGGGTCTGACCCAGAGCCTGGGAGACGGGCTTTTCCCAGGCCCCCGGAGGCTAAGAAAGCCACTGCTGCCCCCCATTCCTGCTCCCCAAATAAATCACTCCAAGCCACTTCTGAAATCAGTTTTTTATATTAAGCTATAAAAATCCGGACCGTGTCCTGAGTACATACATACAAAAGCAGTACTATCAAAAATAATATTAATGACGTTATTAACACACACTAACTCCTACAAATGTACAAAGGCCTTTGTGCACCATTTACACGGGCCAGCTCCTGGCCACAGTACCTGGAAAGAGGGGACAAACCCCAGCTCAGTACTGTCAGAGGCACGCGGCTGAGGCGTGCCTAAGTCTGAACTGCACTGGCTGAACTGGAGGGCCTCGTGGGTGGGCAGAGGCCGGGGTGGGGGGGTGACAGAGGGGTAGGATAAGGTGCCCTACAGGGCAGGGATGCATGAAGGCTGCAGTGGGCAAAACAGTGCCCCCCCCCACCCCAGAAATGCCCACGTCCTGACTCCTGGAGCTGTGATTATGTCAGGGTCCACAGCCAAGGGACCTGACATAATTAAGGAATTATGGCTGCTAATCAGCTAACCTTAAAATGGGAATGATCCCAGATTATCTAGGTGGACCAAAGGTAATCAAAAGGGTCCTTAAAGCTGGAAGACAGGAGCGGAGGCAGGAGAGAAGGTCTGAGGTCTGTGATGTGAAAAAGGTTTGACTGGCCACTGATGGCTTTCAAGATGGAAGGCAGCCACGGGCCACGATATTCAGGCAGCCTCTAAAAACTGGGAAAAGCAACGAAATCCCCTCCAGAGCCTCCAGAAGGAGCCCGCCCTGCTGGGATCTTGGTTGTAGCCCATGAGACCTGTGTCAGACTTCTAACCTCCGGAACCGAAGGATAAGTTCCAACTGAAACTGCCACGTTTGTGGAAACGTGTTCCAGCAGCAACAGGGACACTGATACAGAGGCCAAGGGGTCAGAGGTCAGGCTTCCCTGTCCAGACCTCAGGCTGACTTCCAGGAGGACCCATGGAGTCACCCCTGTCAGTGCATGGAGGACCCAGGAGGCTGAGGCCCCAGATAAGAGTTCATTTTTGCCTCCTTGCCTTTCCAATTCTGCCTTCGAGTCCATAGACGTGCTGAGCCCAGCTCCATGCAGCTCCCCACACTGCGTGTCCCGCCCCGAGCTGGACCGGTAAACAAACCGGGACTTATCCAATTCTAGCTGCCCAGGGGTTTGTGCCTTAGCCAAGGCTGGGCAGAAGCAGCAGCAGTAGGCCGGAAGCCTGTCGAGGAGCCAAGAAGCGGGGGCTGGTCTGAACAGCCCCCAAGTGGGTGGCTGCCCACCAAGGGGGGTGGTGCCCGATGCTCACTGTGTGCTCACAAGCAGGTCAGGTGGCAGGAAAAGCTAACCAACTTTTATAAGCGAAAATAGGGACTTGAAGGGCTCATGTGTCCCCGTGCTGACGTCCAGGATGCTTCGGATGCTCTTGACCTCGCTGCTCGATAGGTTTCCCTTGATGGCCAAGATGGCACTCAAGTGGCCTTTGCTGGCAAGGAAAGCATCCTGTCAGTCCAGTCTAGTCACCAACACCCCTGCTCACCCCTCTTTCCAGCTCCCCAGACACCTGGCCCAAGCCACAGGGCCCCGCAGCCAAGCCCCTGCCCGTGAGGGGGACTCACTCGATCCTTTGCCCGCTGTACTCCAGCAACACTGGACACCTGTCCTTCCCTGGAGTGCACCGAACTCCTGCCCACCTCAGACCTCTGCACTGGCTGTTCCTCCTGAAATATTCTTCCCCACAGTCTGGAGGTGAGCGGCTCCTTCTTACTCTTCGGGTCTCAGCTAAAATGTCACCTCCCCCCCCTTGGGGCGCCTGGGTGGCGCAGTCGGTTAAGCGTCCGACTTCAGCCAGGTCACGATCTCGCGGTCTGTGAGTTCGAGCCCCGCGTCGGGCTCTGGGCTGGTGGCTCGGAGCCTGGAGCCTGTTTCCGATTCTGTGTCTCCCTCTCTCTCTGCCCCTCCCCCGTTCATGCTCTGTCTCTCTCTGTCCCAAAAATAAATAAAAACGTTGAAAAAAAAATTAAAAAAAAAAATGTCACCTCCCCCAAGATTTCCCATCTCTAAAGTCAGCACCTCCTGTCATTCACAATCTTGCTTAAACAATCCTTATAGCTCGTAAGTTTATTTCTGTGCCTGATCACTTCATTATGACTAACTCTCATCACGCTGCAACCTACACGAGGGAGGACTGAGACTGTTCTGTCTTCTACTTCGTTGCAGAAGTAACGCATATACCTAGAACAGAGTTTGGCACTAAGCAGGAGACCACTCAATAATGGGTAGATGGAGGGAGCGAGGGAGGATGGATGGGTAGGTGGATGGACATGTGGGTGGGTGGGTAGATGGATAGATGGATGGATGGGGGACAGGTGGGTAGATGGATGAGGGGATGGATGGATGAGGGGATGGGTAAGTGGGTTGGTGAGTAGACGGATGGGTAGACGGATAAATGGATGGATAGGCAGATCAGTGAATGGATGGCTGAGTAGATGGATGGATGACTAGGTAGGTGAATGGATAAATGGATGAATGAGTGGGTGGGGAGGTAGATGGATTGTTGGATAGGTAGACAGGTGGGTGACCAAATGGATGGATACCTCGATGGATGGGTAGATGGGTATATTGGTGTTTGTATGGGTGGGTGGATGGATGGGTAAGTGGATGAGTGGATGGATAGGTAGGTAAGGGGGTAGATAGATGGGATGAATGGATGCATGGGTAGACGTAGACGGGTAGATGAATAGGTAGCTAAATGGATGGAAGGATGAATGAGTAGGTGGAAGGGTAGACAGTTGGAGATAGGTAGAAGGGTGGATGAGCAGATGGCTGGATAGCTACACAGATGGGTAAATGAGTAGACATGTACATGGGTGTTTGGATGGATGGATGGATGGATGGATGGATGGATGAATAATTGATTGGTTGGATGACTGGATGGATGGATAGATGGGTGGATGGGTTGATGAGTGAATGGATAAATGGATGGATGGATGGATGGATGGATGGATGGATGGATGAGTGTATAGATAAGCAGACAGGTAGGTGGATGGATGGAGTGGATCAGCCAGAGACTAGACTAGGCTGGACTAGGCTAAGCACTCCAACTCAAGACTGTGCAAACTTTCCCTGTCATGTCAGAAGACTCAGCCTAGAGAAAAAACTGCCTTAGTTCACCAGACCTTCAGGCAGCGGGGGGCTGCACCTCCACTCTGAGGATCCCTAGGATGACCTCAGTGGTGGACCCCAGCTTCACTCCTGACTTGCCATGACCTCTAGCAGGTCTCCAGTCTCTCTGGTCTCAGTTTCCCCTCTGAGGGCAGTATCATATTAGGCTAGAACCATGGACTGTGGAGCCAGACTACCTGGCTTCAGCTGTGTCACCTTAGACAAGTTCCTTAAGCTCAGACCTCACCAGCATCATAAGATGGTCAGTGAGCTTCAGACGCATGAGCTGCTGTAAAGGTCCTGGCAGCGTCGGGCACACAGTCAGCCCTCAGCACAGGCTAACTGCTGGGACTGCATCCTCAAGGCCAGTATCTGAGCTCTACCAGCCCTGCAGGGACCGACTCCGGCCCTACCAGGCTCCGACCGGGTCCAGCAGGGCCATGCTGACTGCCCAGGTCCCGTGGCGCCCTTGTTTCTCACCTGAAGTCAGGGTACCAGGTCGCATAAGTGGCCACCTCGATCTTGATGGCACTGGGGTCTTGCAGGCGAATGATCTCGGCAAGCTTGGGGAGGGCGTGATGCAGCCAGGTCGCTGGGGAGCCCTGCAGGCACAGGTGTGGTTGGAGGTAGGCTGCCCCTTCCCCAAAAGGCACCCAAGGGCTCAGAGAAGTTCAGGTCAGAACCGATCGGGTTTGGAGTGGCCTGGGGTCGTGCCTGGCCCTGAAGGGACTTGGGGGGAGGGGCCGCCCATCCCAGTGGCGCTTGGGAAGGGTAGACAGGAGCTTACATTCTGAGTGCAGAAACACTGGATGAGCTCGGCATTGGCCAGGATGTGACCCGCCAGTTGCTGCTGCTGCTCCGCGGACTTGAGGACCAGGCTCCGCTTGCTGAGGCGGACGATGTACTCCTTCACCAGGTGCAGGTGTACAACCTCCATGAGCTCCTGGGAGGCGAGCGGGCAGGGACACGTGAGCCATCACCGCTGGGGAGCTCACCCCCTTCCCTCGAAGCCTTGAAGCCAGGAGTCCGGGGAGGGGCAGAGGCCAAGCAAAAGAGTGGTACGTGTGCATGTGTGTGTGTGCGTGTGTTTTCTGAGTGTGTATGTGCACGATAGCGTGTGTCCAGACTGTCCCTCCCGGCCCTCCCCGCCGGGCCCAGCCATCAGCCCGGCACCTCCTCACCTCCCGGAAACAGTCATGCAGTTCCGAAAACTCAGGCAGCCTCTCGCCCACGGTGGAGATGATTTCCTCCAGGGTCTGCGCGGGGGCGGCCCAGCGGGTCTGTGTAAACCTCTTAAACAGCGGCTGTGACAGGAGAGAGGCAGGATGTCTGGTCACGCCCTCCAGAGGAAGGGCCACCAGCCGCAGACACACGCACGCGGACACACAGGGCCCAGTGCAGGGGCAAGGGGGTCTCGAGGACTCCCCAGGGAACTCAAGTCCCCGTTCACAGACGGGAAGTGGAGACAGGGTCCGTGTACCCTTCTCCAAAGTCAACCAGCTGCAGCTCTGGAGCCAGGACAACCATCTGTCTGCCTTGGGGCCTTTTCCACCGCCCCCTCTGAAATAAATAAATTCCTGCATAAACAAGGGTTTGTGCTTGGCTGAGCCTCTAAAGACCTGTGCCAAGTCACCCAGGGTCACTGCCCGGCCTTCACCACTGGCTGGCCACTCGTGGCCGCCTGTCCTGAGCAGCAGGGACAAGGCGGGCTCCCACAGAAAGCAGGCAGGGAACCCTCCTCTTCATTTCCAGGGACCCCTGCCTCGCCCTCTGCTACGGGAGCCAAGGGCTTTCTGCGTATTTTTTGGCCCAGAACAGATGAGGCAGTGGCCATCAAAGGCTCTGGGCATCACAGCTGGGAGTCGGGCATGGGGACACGGCATGGGCGGGTGGGTCTGGGGGAGCTGCAGAAAAAGCGTGCGGGCTCAGGACGGGGTCTTGATGGGGGAAGGGGCACTAAAGCTCCCAGCCCTGGGCAACCCCTCTGAGGCCAAGCCCGGGCTGAAGTGGTGGGGACGAGGTCAAAGCCCTCCGTGGCCCCCATCGCCTGGGCAGCACGGGCCTCAACAGCTGGCCGCACAAGTGCCAGGCACTGGCTTCTGCCCTTCCTCCCCTCCCGGGCCCCCTCCGCCCCCCCCTCCGATGCTAAGCTCAGCGTGCATCCCAGGGCGGGGGTCTCTCTCTACCTTCAGGTCCCCGAACAGGCTCTGGAGCAGGGTGTCAAAGCCGTGACTCTTGAGCTCACTCAGGGGGCCCAGCAGGTGGCCGGGGAGGTCTTGTGTCTGCCATTTCTGCTGCATGGCTGTCCTGGAAGGACATGGATGGAGGCAGGGAGGTCCACCTACAGCCCCACACCCAGAGAGCCCAATGCCCTCGGCAAATCTTCCTAAACCACCTTTTCACTTTAGAACCTTCCGTGACTCCCCATTCCCTGTGGAAGCAAGTCCAAGTCAACCCATCTCTGCGCCCCAGGCAGCACCCAGCCCTTCTCAGCCCCTGGAAACACCTGCACCACATGCTCTTAACCCACATCTGCTTCACAGATGTAACCACTGCGCCTACTTCACAAGGGTGTCATGAGAAATAAATCCTCCGCAGGAGTGCTGGCCCACCAGCGCTTGATAAACGTTGCTGCCGCTGCCCCTACAGACCCCGATCAACTCACAGGCCATGCTCGTTCGAATTCCACATCTTCGCTTATGCTGCACCCCCCACCCCCTCCCGAACCCCGCACCTCCTCTCCCCCTTCCA